GGGACCTTGTAGTCTAATGAGATAAGCGTTAAAAGGTTCATCATATTTTCACCCGTCCCACATATGCACCCCCCTTGCCCCCTCCAAGAAAAATAACACAAACAAATGAATGGAAAACAAGGATATTATACTTGTAACGTTCACAAAAATGCTGTGCCATCTCTCCAACAGCACCTCCACTAATAATGACCTTAGCACCAGAATCCGCAACTGCTTTAATGAGATCTTCAACCTTGGATTCCTCAGTTTTTGCGTAGTTCTCAAGCTGCAGAGCATTAGAGTACCCAGATCGCAACAAATCAATACTAGTCACAAGATAATAACATGTGATTCTTTAAATTTTTTAGAACATCAGTGAAGACATTGTATGGTTTCCTCAATCTTTTAATTCTAGAAAATCATACTTAAAAGTGTGTGATACATCAATTAACCTGGGATGGCCCTGTTTTTAAAAAAAGTTTAAACATTAAGATAAAAGATCAACTGTGATGTACATTGACGTGCTGATATGACTGGAGACATGGAAAAGATTTAGGGTGGAATCCAAATCCTCTATTATGTTCACTCGTTCTGAATGGTTGAAATCATAGCAACTTTTTTATTAAATTTATTTATTATTTAATAGACAATAACCAACTAGAATGAATGGTACACAAGGGAACACGGACTCGCACGAGTAAAAAATGCTATGATGTGAGGACATGCTACATAGATTACCTAATATTTTTATAATCTTCAAGGAAACTAAAAATAGGGCTGAACTTAATACCTGGTCAGCGCTATGAATAAGAACTGTTCCTTTTGTTTCGGTTGCAGATGTATCAACTCCCCCAACAAAAACAGCAACCTGCAAAATTAGGTATTCAAGTCTAGAACCTTGATAAAAGCAAACACTTAGATAACATAGATGTATTTACAAGTTAAAATAATGGTGCACAGGTAAAGGTTTACTATTAGAAGCAGAGATTAAGTAGGTAAGGGTACAGATTCAACCCCAACACTTTTTTAGATATATTTCCACCTTCAAAATCTCAAAAGAATCGGTATGCAATTGTGTTTTAATGCTCAAATTAAAACTATTGAAGAAAGAAAATCTGCAAGCCTATAATTAAATGATAATGGGGTTGAGATATATCTGTAAACAAGAATAAATAATTTAACTACACCATTTTTTTCTTAAAAGGAATGTGAGTTGGAGATTGATGAAAAGAACGGTGAAAAGCTAAATTGAGGATGGGGATATTTACATTAAACAAATACAAGGAAACATAAATGAAGTTGCAATGCATCATCACATACAGTCAGAAAATGATTTCTTCCCCATGTGTATCTATGGATCCTATGCCTCCAATCGACACATTTCCTTATAAACAAAATCTTGAAACCTTAACATAAGAAAGAAAGAAATAGAAGCCTCTGTTTATACTAACTACTGTAGGCAAGAGGCCATCCTTATTTTCATGATATCCAGTTCCCTCAAATCCCTCAATGAGTGGATTAATTGAAAAAACAAGATGAAAACTCAAAGGAAAAGCTCTAATATCTCCCCATAGACCCATAAGACTCTCTCTCTCACACACACACCCATGTGCCCGAGGGTACAAGTAAAAAAATTCACCTATTTGAAAATTCAAAAACATCAGGAACATTGATTTCGGGAATCTAAAACCTCATATATATCGGGAGCACAGAATAAAGGTGAACTTTATAACATTTAGTTGTGGCAGGCGCATTCATTGAATGTTCATTAATGTTCATAGACGGGGTCATTCATTACATCATATTGACGTACTGAAATTCATTTTTTATTTTTCATGGGAAGAACATTTTTTATTTGAACCACAGTCTATATGGGTGTGTAGTAACCATCTTTTCATAATCAGGTTTGCCAGACAGAAAAACATATAAAGCAATAAAATATAGAACTTGTGTATGAAACTTTACCTTTGCCTTTTCCATTCTCTTAATGCTCCCAACAGCATCGCTTTTCAATACCATGCCTCTAACTATTGTTGAATTGTGTAGACCTCCACCCAATAGCTTAGCAACGCGAACATTGTCCACATTGAAATTAGCAGGGTTCTTAGGACACACTTGTATACATGCCTACAGAAAAAAATCCACAGAGAATCAAAAGCTGCTGACACTGATTTCATATATAGAGATTAGGATCAAAATCGTGAACTAGATAAAACAAGCATCCTGATATAATGATATCTACCTCAGCAATGAGAGGGCACAAAATATCTTCTTGTCCAAATTGTTTGCTTGCAACTGCAGCTTTCATCCTAGAAACAACTTCTACCTTGTTTCTGACATCCATATTTTCTGAGCCTTCAACAACTAGTTCTTCTAATACTCTAATAGTCTGTATCCATAAATTTAGTAGGAAAATAGTTCAAATATGTAATTAATGTTGATAAATTATAAATGTATTATAGGCCTTATAAGGTAGACCATGCAGACCTCATTAATTGCTTTATTGTATCCAATGATGATCTCACTAGGGTGTAACCCCATCCGAATCAGTTCCTCAGCATTTTGAAGCAACTCTCCAGCAAAAGAAATAGTCAGATTGGCCCCGTCACCAATCTCTTCTTGCTGAGCTTTTGCTGCCAACACCAAAATCTTGGCAGCAGGATGCTGGATCTCAAGTTCATTCACAATCGTAGCAGCATCATTGGTAATGAAAAGCTTATCAAGATGGTTGATAACCATCTTATTCATGCCTAAACAAGAATTAACCATAAACGGATGAGAACAACAGATATATGTTATACTCCTGGAAAGATAATTGATCTGCAGCGAATTAAACTCTTCCTAGAAAGGAGAACTAGTCCTAGACTGAAGTTCGGAGTGTTTCGAATTACGCCGTCCAACTTGCACATTTCTGATAAAATAATGGGCAGCCCACCACACTGGTGTATAAGGGTCCAGCGAAGGGTCCCACCACAATGGTGTATAAGGGCAAGCCTTCCGTGTCAAATTTTGACAAGAGGCAGCTCCCAAGACTTGAACACGTGAAATCTCTTTCACTTAGAACACCTTAACCAGTGTGCAAAAGCTCCACTTCAACTTGCACATTTGTGATAATTTTTTAAATCAATTTACTATCAAAAGTAAGCGGAAATGGATATCATCTTTTTCCTATGAATTTCTTTGAGTGCACGGTTGTGTTAAGGAATTACAATGAGAAAAAGTATATTAGGAAGTCTGAACTAAATTGTAAAGAAGGGAGAAAGAATAATTTACCATTCGGTCCGTATGAAGTTCGAGTTATGCCGGAGAGCTGCTTGCAGGCGTCAATGTTCTTAATCACAGCCTCATCGAGACCAGACAGATGCTTGTGGCCTTCTTTAAGCATAGATTGCATTGCATATGGCTGCATTTGGAATCCCACCATATTGTTCTTCTTCAACTTGCCCGTGTACTCGGAAATGGAAATGGATGAACGGTCGCTGGAATAGAAGCCCGGAGCCGGGGAGGGTTGGGAAATCGGAAAACGCTGCCCTAGTGCGGAGAAAGAGTTCTACTCCGTAGTTGGGCTTTAGTTTAAAACTTTAAATGTGAAATGGAAGATAGGACCCTCTTAACAGGTCCAACATTATATGGAGTATTATTCAAGAAGCTTATTAATGACCCAAATTGATGGAAGTTTGGCAAAAAGAACACAAATTTAGAAACTAACTAATGTTTGCTCCGTGTTAGAGCATCTTCAATGCAAAAGTGTTGTAGTGAGACATATAAACACAAAAAATTAAATTGTAGAAGCCATTCACATTTTGTCCACGATGAAATAAATATTTGGTTGTTTTTTGTTCACTATGTCAAGCACACCGCCAAGATCTAGAAATTATACTTGACATTGTAAATAAAAATTAACTAAAATTTATTTCGCAGTGTAAAGAAAGAGAGAGACTTTTTATTAATTAATTCTTTTCTATTTATATCTCTTCTGCACGTGTGCACCACCGTTCCCACATTTGCATTGGGCATGCTCTAAGTTTTTCTTTTCATCTGCTTTTTTTAGACGTCAAAGTTAAAGATTCTCATTTCTAATTTACAAAACAATTAGCACTCTTAAATTACAACTTAATTATTAAATATTAAAAATAATACACATAACCCATTGTCATGCCTTATATGATGTTGTCCTTTCCTAGATCATGCATCTAACTCGAACTAGGGTGGTTAACGGACCGGGCTTTTTTTTAATTATTGGAGTTCGAGCTTGATTTTGAGCTTAACGAGTCAAGCTTGAAACGTGAGCTGGGTTTAATATTCAAGTAACTAATCAAGCCGAGCTCAAACATATTAGTACTCCGCTCGATTTGACGCGAGCCTATCGAAAACCCTATAATTAGTACTATCGATGAAAGTATTGCTAACCAAATGGCGCATACCTCATTTGGTCGTTGTGAAGCTATAACATTGGGAAAACCAATCTTGTATTGACAAGTACAAAATGCTAAATATTTGTTGTGATAAGGAACTAATTTGTCATGCCAAGTGTTCTATGATATTTGAATTACGGCTCTTCAATTTTTTCTAGCTGCAGTGGCACAATTCTTAGATCGATTTCACAATCTCATTACATATATGTAGTTCATAGGTTATACTCCCTCTATCTCAGCTTATGGTTCTCACTTTCTTTTCTCGAACGTCTCACATAAAGGTTCACATTTCTATGTTGGAAAATGATTAAGACTCCTAAATTACAATTTAATCATCAAAAATTAAAAAAAAACTATAACATAACAAATATCATCAATGACCTCTTTATATTATACGAAGCATGCCATCAAACAATTTCTCAAAATATACTGAAATTACCTTATCGAATTAACATTTTACAATGAGAACCTTAAGAGGTGGTGGTATCTAATGTTTAACTAGTTTCCTTGTTTAACTATTTTACTTTCATGTTATAGACAATTTCATATACAAACAAGTTTAGCCTCATTCTCCAAAAGTGTCAAATTTAGTAGTGTTAAAAGACAGGGACTATGATTTGATGGAGTATCACTTTATTGATAAAATTATCTCTTTGAGGTTATTATGAAAGACACATGATTTACACAAAATTGTGACATACAAAGTTGTTTTTATAACAAACAAGTGTCCCCTGGACCTTTTGCCCCGAGTAATCCCATCGCCAGCCTTAAAGTTAAACCCCGGGTAAACCTTCAGTGGCCCTTCAAAGTTCAAACCCAGGCAGCTCTGCAAGGTTTAAAAAAGAAGGATAGTGTTTGGATGAGATCTAAGGTTGGAATTTTACATTGAATGTTAGCCCTTCAATACTATATCGACATTAAAACCAATGGGGTAATCAAGCAAGTATGAATATGAAGAAGCCCAATGAGCACTAGCAAACTTCATAAACATCCACCACAGCTCAAGAAACATTTTGCAGAAGCTGAAATCCATATCCACCAGCTTTGCTTTCATGAAGAATAGATATCCCATAATGGGGCATATGTCAGCCTCCCATTTTCATTTTCGTCACCTCTACTGCCAAACTTGCTTCCCTCAAAATTTTAGCTGCATCCTCTGGGAAAACAGGATTTATGTAACATCCAGTTCCTAACTCAAAACCCCCAACCCCGGATAAATGGGGCACTATTTGGAGATACCAATGGCAACTTGGTAAATATGAAGGATCAACTTCGAATGGGGAGCTATGGATCATGAAGTTGAATGGTGGATTATTCAGCTGTGAGGACAATGTCAAAAGCACAAGTTTCAACTGCCCTGCCAGATCAAATGCCTGAACAACAATCATGGCCAAACATTGTTAAAGTCCAAAAAGAAGACAAAATACTGTGTATGTTTTCTTGCAAAATATTTTCTGGATTCTACCGTGTCTGGCACAAGAAAGCATCCCCCCCCCCCCACCTTGACAAGAAAAATATTTTCTGAGACTATTCGAGTGTGTGTGAAAACTGAAAAATGAATTCTTCCACTCTTAAACAGATAAAGCAGTCATTTCCCTGAAGCATTTTTTCCCCTATATTTATCGTCAAACAATTTTCCAGAGTGCAATTTACACAACCGTGTTTAGATCATAAATACAAACTCAATCACTTATGCAAGGAAATTGTAATCTTAAACTGTTGATAGATGATTAAATTTTCTGTTGGAAACATTCTAAACATTATTTTTAATCTTCACAAGTGTATATCACAACTATAAATTTCAATTAAAAAAAAATCATCAATTACCTTCTCTCTGTCTAGGTCATGAAAATAAACAGAGTGGTTCCGAGGGATTATCCATATTTCAAAGGGGAATGTAGCAGCAAATGGAACCACAGACGTGAAATGGGTTGACTTAGTGATTATTAAGTCATCTGCATGAACATTGCAGAGAGAACAAGTCCCACACTGCTGAAAATACTCCTTCATACTACTGAGGCGAGCAGAAACTGTGGGAGGGATAATAGGAAGAGCAATAATCTGGCTGTGAGAGTGGCTCATAGATGCACCGGCTGATGCCCCATGATTTTTGAAGACCTACTAATTCAACCCCATAAAAAATAGTGAGAAAAATTTGGGGACACTCATTAACTATAATGTACTAAAAATGCCAAAAAACACAAGGATGTAAGAATCATCAATATAAGATGCCAAAAATAACTGGTTCCATATATATTGGTTTTTTTAGTTCTTCGAGTGTAACGTCTACTTCCGTATATATTGTTCTTTTTAGGATGTAAATAGAATAAAATGAGAAACTACCCTTCATTTCTTAGGGATGCCAAATTCATCATATACCAAGTCAATCCATTACTGGTTCCAGTTGAGCATCGCAATGACTCTAGTGCTCAAGTCAATGTCTCCTCATAAATTTTCTTATGGTTCTTTTAATAAACATTTTCAGACATCGAGCCAACTTGCCAAGATAACAACCAGGGCTGATTGGGCCTAGGAGAGCCCAGGCTCACCCTCAAATTTTTTTAGAACTAGTATATATGTATAAAAATCAGGCCCACCCTCAATTTTTTTAAAAATATTACTCCCTCCGTCCAGGATACATCTTTACGTTTGCTTTTGGAACGGTAATTTAGGAGAACAAATATCTGCCCAAGCTTCCCATCTTGCCCTCCCCTCACCTAGCTAACGTATTTACGACCTGCCTCTCTTTCTTCCTAAAGTCTTCCGCTACCTTCCATCTCTTTTCCTGGAGCAATTGGGCGACTGATGGAGGGTCTGTGTTTCTGTAATTGGCAATTTGGGATAGAAGCAGAAAATATCTGCCCAAACATCCACTCTTACGATTTGAAATTCAATGGCATAGAAGCTTGTGTTTCTGCAATTGGGCGACCAATGGAGGGGCTGGGACTGGTGAGTGAGGACGAATTGGGATCTCCCGCCACACATATATACATTTGCAGCAGGGGAAGAAGCAAGCCGGCAAAGTATAGGGCGACACAACAAGAGGATGGCGATGGCGTCCAGAAGGTTTTGTGCAGAGACCGGAATAGCAGAGGAAGGACGGCGAGCCAGTCTCAATTTTCATCTCCACCGGAATAGCAGAGGAAGGACGGCGAGCCTGTCTCAATTTTCATCTCCACCGTCACATATGTCACACAGAAGCTTCTGGATAGGATATAAAAGGACAAACATATGTTTAATGGGGGCCAAGTAAATTTAGAATGAGAGTGGTAGTGAAGGGTAGTTTGGATACTTTAATGTAAAAGAGTTGTTAAAAAAGGAAACATAAAGGAGTAAATGGGACGTCTCAAAAAGGAAAGCATAAAGATTTGAACGGGGCGGAGGGAATAATATACAGCAGTTTTGGTCCGTAGTTCCGCACAAGTCCCCTCTCCCATCCTTCTAGTTCTAGCCAAGCCCAAAATTAAAACATGGCGCAGGGGAAGAGGTAGCAAGACTAGCGGTCCGCATAGTTCCGAATTGGCAAAACCCTCAAACTGTCATGACTAGCAGTCTGCATAGCTATTTTAGCAACCCATCGAGTCTTCGTCAATCGTTGCATTGCCGGTCGGCCATCGAAAGGACGTCGCCACGTCGGACCCGGACAGCGCACAGTGGCTCAACACTAGGACAGCGGTTTAGACTGTTTAGTTTATGCTCTTCAGTGGTAAACTGGGAGGTGCGGAACCGCTTAACGAGTAAGTTTTTATTTGTAAAGTTTTGATCATCATTTATAGTAGTATGAGTTTGCTTGTGACTTGTGATTATTAATCTAATTATTTAGTTAATTAGTACTAGTATTGTAACTAGTCATCCCGGTATTTTCAATAAAGGTAATGAAGAGATAGTATAACCCTATTGAAGTAGGAGACTAGGAGCTAAGGAGGGTAGCTATCCAAGATTGAAGAGCCCTCAACTACAATTCTAGAAAATTCAGCATACCTGGATTTAGAATACCGATTTCAAAGTATAATCCAAATATCAAAGATCAAGCTCTAAGAGCATATTTGCATAAATGCGCTTGTCAACCGTTTGAGCATAACTTCCCAATGAAGATGATTTTTGCAAATAAATCAAGAAGATTCATACCGACTTGGTTTACTGAACATGAATGGTTGGAGTATAGCATATCTGAAGAAGCCGCCCATTATCTCTATTGTTATCTTTGAAAACTCAATAAAGGGAAACAATCGGGAGAAGATGTGTTTGTTTAGGAGGGATTTAACCATTGCAAAGACAAGTCCAAACTTAATGCTCATATTGGAAAGCATGATAGTGAGCACAATCAAGCTCGAATGAGGTGTGATGCGCAGATGAACCAAAATGTACATATTAAAACAATTTTAGACAATCAATAATGTTGACAAAAGAATGATTATCGCATCTGACTGACATCATCTGTTGATTGTGTGCGGTAGTTGTTGAGGTTAGGGTCACCTCTCCGGGGTCATGACGAATTAGAAGACTCTCTAAGTCCAGGTAATATTTTAGTGACCATCAAATTTTAAGAGATCATAATCTTGAGATAGCTTTTATGGTAATGGATAATGCACCTAGAAATTGCAAACTTGTTGCACATTGCATTCAGAAAGATTTAACTCATGCTTGTGCTATTGGGACGGTGGATGTTATCATTCAAGATATTGGAGTTTCTTTATATTCTATTTCAATTGATGAATCTCGTCATTATGTATCAACAAAAGAACAAATATCAGTTATTATACGTTATGTTGATCGTAGTGGACATGTGAAAGAACGATTTATTGGTGTTGAGCATGTTACTAGTACCACATAACTTGCACTTAAGGAAGCGGTTGACATGTTATAGTCTAAACACAACTTGAGCATGTCTAGATTAAGAGGGCAAGGTTATGATGGAGCAAGTAATATGCAAGGAGGCTTAGTGGGTTGAAAAAAATTATTCTTAATGAGAATTTAATTGCATACTACATTCGTTGTTTTACACATCAACTCCAACTCGCCCTTGTAGCTTTTGCAACAAAGATTCTTCCCGTTGCTGATTTTTTCGTGTTGTTACTCAAGTGGTAAATGTTATTGGAGGTTCGTGTAAACGTTCCGACATTTATCATAAAAAAACAAATGAGCTTCGTTGTTGAGGCGTTTGAAAGTAGTAATGTTTTAAGTGGATGAAGTCTTAACCAAGAATCTAACCTTAAGCGCACTGGTGATACACATTGGGAATTACATTATAGATCTTTGGTGAGCTTGATTTCAATGTTTCCTGCTATTGGTGATGTCCTTGATGTGATACACGATGATGAGGTAACTACGTACACACAAAAGGTGGAGATAGAGTACTTACTCAAAATGATGCATTGCTTTGATTTGTTCAAAATTTGCACATGATGATTATCATGGGAATATTGAATGAGTTGTCACATGTTTTACAATGGCGTGATCAAGATATTGTCAACGCGATGGATCTAGTTAGAGTTTGTAGGTACCAACTTCAAGCTTCTAGAGATGAAGAATGGGATCTAGCTAAAGTTTGTAGGTACCGACTTTAAGCTTCTAGAGATTTGTGTTTTTTGTGATCAACATTTTATTACTATCCCAAACATGAAAGGACCAACTCTTACAAATTTGCATCATTTTCGCTATGATCTATCTTGTGTTGCGATTGATTCGCAACTGCAAGAGTTGGGTGATCATTTCTCAAAAACTAGTGAAGAGTTGCTACTTTGCATTGCTTGTTTATCTCCACAAGATTCATTTGATGCTTTTGAGAAGAAGAAATTGCTTAGGTTGACCAAGTTTTGTTCCGAAAATTTTTCACCGTTAGACGTTTGTATTCTCAAGATCAACTTGAAATTTATATCTATGATGTGGGCTCTAATGCATTATTTAAGGACCTCAAAGGACTCGGTGACCTTGCTGAAAAGTTGGTAGAAACTAAGAAGCACAAGGTATTTCCTTTAGTTCACAAGTTGTTGAATTTGGCATTGATTCTTCTCGTTGCAACCGCTAGTGTTGAAAGAGTATATTTTAGCAATGAATATCGTGAAGGATAGGTTGAGCAACCAAATGAGTGATAATTGGCTCAATGATAAACATATTGTTTATGTAAAAAAGACATCTTCTTGAATAATGACAAAGATGCCATTATCGAACGATACCAGTCGATGAAAACCCGTAGAGAATGGTTGTAAAATTGTGGTCTTCTTAATTAAGACCCCATCCTTTTGAAATTCTACCACTTTCAAGTGTCTCAACAACGAAATTCGGTTGTTTTCATGAAAAATGTCGAAATGTTTACACGAACCTCCAATAACATTTACTATTTGAGCAACAATACGAAAAAATCAGCAATGGAGGATTCTTTGTTGCAACAGCTATAGGGGCAAGATGAAATTAATGTGCAAAACAATCACTCTAATATGCACTTGAGTTCTCATTAAAAATAATTTTTTTCAACCCACTAAGCCTTCATTGCATATCACTCACCCCCGTCATAACTTTATCCTCTTAATCTAGATATGCTCAACTTTTGTCTAGAAAATAGTGTCAATCGCTCCCTTAAGTGCAGGTGATGTGGTACTTAATGACATGCTCAACTCCAATAAATTGTTTTTTCACATGTCCACTACCATCAACATAACGTATCACAACTGACATTTGTTCTTTTGTTGATACATCATGGGACTCATCAACTAGAATAGAATATAAAATCTCCAGTATCTTGAATGATAACATACACCGTCTCAATAGCACAAACATGAGTTAAATTATTCTGAATATTATGTACAAGAAGTTTGCAATTTGTAGGTGTATTATCCATTACCACAAAACCAATTTCAAGATTATGATCTCATAAAAATTTCATGGTCAATAGAAAATTACCTGATGAGAGTCTTCTGATTTGTCATGACCCGGAAAAGGTAACTCTAACTTCAACAAGTAACGCACACAATCAAAAGATGTTGTCAGTCAAATGTGATAATCATTCTTTGTCTATATTAATTGATTGCCCGAAATTGTTTCAATATGTGCTTTTTGGTTCATCAATGCATCACACCTCATCCGAGCTTGATTGTACTCACTATCACGCTTTTCAATAT